TGATTAGCCCGCAGTGTGAGTGGAAGCGATGGGATTTGTAATGTATCCTCCTTCTTGAAATGTTTCATGTCAGACCCTTGTTTAAACATCTTCTGTAGTCCTTAAATATAAGGAGACATATTTACATTATGTGTAATCAGCAAAAAAACAAGTTTTCTGGTGGCTAGAAGAGTGGCCCTTCTACAGCAGGGCTGTGGTTCTGTACATGCAGTCCCCATTCCTGGCTCATTTCAGAGCCAGGTTTAGATTTATTAGTGACTGCAGAACTAGATCTGGGAGGATTAAACAGGATGGGCTGTAAGTGCCTTGCAGCATTAGTCCAGAACACACATAACACATCCTGGTTGGGTACAGGAAGTTTAACCTTCAGCTTCATTTGAGGGTTTGCAAAATCTGGGTGTGTGTAGGCACTGTTTCAAGAGGAGCGGTTCAGTCTCGTGTTAAGATATACTGGGATTTGATTTTTTAACAAAAGCAAGAGTCTGAACTATCACAAATTTTCTTGCTTCCCTGAATCTTCATCTCTTCTCTCTCATGTTTGTAAAGTTTTTCCCGCTTTTTGAGGGAAATTTTTGGCCATGTTTATAAAAACAGTGAAACTGCCTAAAGTGCTGTTACATAGGAAATGAACAATACGAAATAGCAGCACGATATCAAATCCATTCACAAGTCAAGAACAGAGAAACAACCTTCTCTCATATTTTGGCCATAGTAGTCTTGGTGTTGCCATCATATAATATTTATCATGCAGTATAATTAAAGCTAAACTATCTTCCTTGATATCCCCCCAATTATATTTATTAACTATTTTTTTTGCCCCATACCTATATATATATTTTTTGCCAAGTTATTTTTGGTTTAAATCCTGGTTTCTTATCCCTTTATCCCATCTGCAGTTGATGGTTAATAAGTGAAACCTTTGCAGACTTCAGTAGTAGCTTGAAAGAGCTCCCCGTTGACTCCGGGCTGAGTGATGGACAGATTCCCTGCCTGCTGCTCACTTCGCTGCTAGATTCACCTAGGGTGTAATAGCCTAACAAAGCAGAGGAGGGAATTGAAATGTGTTCTTCTGAGAACAGCAGTAAGTAAAGCTGCCTTTCTAGTTGTTCTCTCAATTAGCTCCTAGGAGATTTTTGTGCTTTCCTAGTTTCTCTTGGGGATATGTGACCTGATAGCATATTGCTATAAATAATTATTTTACTAGTATCGAAGTAGGAACTGCACACAAACACAGAGCCACATTTGCAGCATCTTTATTGGATGCTGTAAGTACCATTTTTTACAGACAGGCTTTTTTCTTTCTTTCTTTCTCTTTTTCTTTTCCCTCTTCCTTGGAGTGCACTCCTGACACTTCTGATCTTCATAACTTTGATTGTTAGTTTTGTGCTGCCCCTTGAAGTGAAATTGCTGGTGAGTGGCATAAAGCTCACAAGCCAAGGCGAGGAGATGAGGAGCAGTGTGAAATCATTGCAGCTATGGGGGAAGAGCAGAGAAATTGCTTTCAAGCTGGATACTGCAGGTGATCATTACTTGTTTGTAGAAGTGGGTTCTTTAAAGGAAAAAAGGAACTGGCCTTAAATGCATATTAAATGCCACAGCAACCTCACTTAACTCATTCCTTGACCAGGGACAGCAGCAGGAGCACTAGGAAAAGACCGTTAACCTAACTCAATTCAGAGAGCTGACACACCAGCCTTGCTTACACAGCTGAGATGAGCCTGGACAGCTCTCATTTAGCTCTTTTTAAAACGGGTCCCACAACGAGTAAAAATGAGCATCAGTAAATCTGTGGTAGCTGTCAGAATAAATCAGAGTTCTGTGTTGTTTGATTAAAGACCAACCCTTTTATCAAATCTTTCCCTCTCACTGCTGAGGCTGTGGGACAGCTCCATCCACGGGAGAAGTGCAGGGATTAATGGAATTAACAGGGCACTGGTGTTGGCCCTTATCACTTGCCTGATTGGGTTCTGACTTAACAGAGTTTAGTATTCCTGGGTATGAAAGCAAGTGTTTCAAATCCATCCAAACCCCTATTTTAGATGTCTTTTTACAGTGAACTCCAGACATTCCTGTTTTGTCTATTGCAACTTCAGAGGTGACTTCCTCTGAACTTGTGTCCTGGATTCACATTTTGTGTTACCTTCACAGTCTTGATCCATATCCTCTCCATTGATGCTGGTAGCACAGCTTGTAGAAAGAATTGGAAGTGAGCATTTTAATCTGTAATTCAGTTAAAAAGACACCTTTTGAATTCTAATGGTAACGATATGGAGATAATGGCACTACCTAAGAGTATACGTGAGCGTAGGTTAGAGCTGATTTTTAGGCTAAGGTTGAAAATGTGTGCCGTTTTTATAGATTTAATTTTATTAGAACTCTGTGAACAGATATGTAACTGTAAAACCCAGGTGTTTGTTTTGTACATGCATTAAAAGGATGCTGTACCTGAATAGTTGACTGAGGTTAGTTTGACAGGTAACGGTCATGGAGATGGACGTTTGAACAGGGCGGTTTGCAGTGGGGATGGGAAGCTGCCCTCGGAGCTGCTCATGAGCTGATAGGGATGGGACAGCCCCTGTGCTGCAGATCCCGGGATGCTCAACCCAGGAAGCCTCTCAGCAGCAAAGGGCGCAATCTGCTCTGTGGCACTGCTTGTGCTGAGCCCCAGCAGCTGCTACCTTGAGTTAGGAGAGAGCAAACTCACCCTGGCGTGAAATTAGTGCCCTTTCCCTCACAGTCATTACACGAGGGTTATATTGTTACCAGCTACAGGCATGGCTGTGCCTGCGATGAATAATAACAAGAAATGTGAGCTTTACCCCAAAACATTACCAAGACACCCTGCAAACTTTGAAACCCTGTGTGTTGTGGTTCCAGCTAATAACAGGTATTAGAGTGTTTTCCTTGACAATTGCTGCAGTAATATTTATACTTATGAGACCTGGAAATAGGCAGGAAGTTTCTAAATGAAAATATGCTTACAAGGTGGTTATTAAAAATAGCTGCAAAATGTTTCAAGTGCAAATTCCCAAGGCTGTGTTGTGGCTACTGAGACATGCAGCCTCGGAGATGTCTGGCATGGGGAGGAGAGCTGGTGTCCAAATCCTTGAGTACCAAACAGAGGATTCACCAGGCTGGATCAGAAATGAAACCACCAAGTGGAAACTTGGCTTTATTATTGCATGCTGATCCCTTGCTTTTTCAGTTCCCTGTATGTTTCATGTAGGTTTGTGGATTGTACTGCACCTGACCTGTTGATGGAATTTTCCTGTCAAAACCACCTAAAATTTCAAAGCTGATCCTGAGATGCTGTGTGCCTCTTAACCTGCGATAGTGTCAATTCCAAAGGGGAAAATAAGGGATCCAGTAGCATCTGCAGTGTAACTGCTGAGGATGTAACGACTGAAGAGTCACAACTTCGTTTTAGTAGCAAGAACATAGCTGTGTAATTCCCAGGAGGCGGCCGGTTTTAGGCTTTCTTTTACAGGTTAGAGGTTTGTGGCTTCCTTTTCCAAGCTGGGCAGGGGCCAGAGCTGCTGACTCCCAAAGCGAGAACACCTCTAATTAGCTGATCAGTGGTGCTTGACCTCGGGAGCAACGGGAGCTCAGCTCATGCCGGGGTCAAATCCTGTCACTGAGCACTGCCTGGTACGGGCCCTGCTGGGTGTCATCCAGAACCTGTCCCTGCTGTAATCCCACAGCCACGGGCCAGCCTGAAACGTGCCTGCTCCTGACGAATAGTACCTTGCTCTGCAGGGTGCATTGAGGTGACCCTCGTCTCCGAACGGAGTTCCTGTAGGGTGAGGGAGGATGCTTCAGCCTGGCCCGTGGTGAGTGCTGAGCTGCACTAACAGGGGATTTGCTGCAGTGCTTCCAGTTTTTATTCCATTTGTTTCCAATTTAGGCTAAAGGCAAGAAGCAGAGTTCCTGGAGAAAGCAGGCAGCATGTTGTGAATTAGAAGACCTGTTCAGGTTGTGTTCAGACAGCAGAAGAACCTTCCATGTGATTTGCAGGGGACTTGCACGACAGAAGAGCCAGCAGCTTTTTAAGGACACATGTAGTCCTCAGGCTACATAGTTGGATGTGGATTCTTACATGGCTATGGCATTGCACTGCAGAGAAAGTTATTTTGATCATCCTGATAAAAATATGCAGGAAAAAATGGCTTCCTGACAAGTGGAGAGCTAGAAACCCTGTTCTGTGGTGAGGTCTGAGAAGCCTCACCCTAAAAACTGTGATTGGGAATTGAGGCACCGTAATCTCCTTGCTCTACTTTTGTGGTTCTCATTATAAAATTCTATTTTCAGAATCTAATTACTTTAAATTAAAATACTTGCCATGTGCAAAGCACCTGATAATTTCTGATCTACTGTACTTGTAGCCCGTAAGCTCTGTGAGAGACCTCCAGGTGTCATGCCTGGATTACATTTGAGGAAACTTAGCTGCCGTGTGCTGTTGCTTGTCCAGATGTGATGTGATTTAGTGGCAGATCAAGTAATAGTCGTACACTTGCCAGTGTTCTGTCAGGATGGTATTATTACAGTTTTTGCCCTCTTAGGTGAGGAAGAAGGCAGCAGTGGGTCTGACAAATCAAATCTCTGTAACTGAGCAAATGGTTTACTCTTAATAAGGTGGTGGGTTTGGGGAGGTGAAGGAGATCACTCCTCGGCTCAAGGTGTTAATCTGACTTGGAGCTGCAGTATATGCCAGTGGCAGGCAGTCTGTGTGCTGATGGACATTGTCAGCCACTTCACAGCCAGCAGACTGGACTGGGTTTGTGTGTACGTGCTTCTAATGAAGGAAGGATCACGCTGCATTCAACGCAGGCTCTGCAGGATGGTGCATAGTGCCCTGTGCTCGTTGCTTTTGTCCCTAGAAGTGTCTTCGCATTGCTTTGACTCACCGTCTAACTGAGAATGATAACTCTAAAATACTCTTTTCTGATATAGAAGAATTGTCTGACAGTAGTGTGTGATGTTCTGAATCTTCTGTTCTTTAGGTCAGTAACAGATCCACGCGATGGAAAGAGAGTTGCACTCAAAAAGATGCCCAACGTCTTCCAAAATTTGGTCTCCTGTAAAAGGGTCTTCCGGGAGTTGAAGATGTTGTGTTTTTTTAAGCATGACAATGTAAGTAAAATCAAAGTAATGCTGAAGTCTTTGATAAAGCCTAACTGTAGAATGGAGCCATCTGTGACAGAAGTCTCTTAAGTTATAGGATATGTAAAATGCTTTAAAAGCTCTCTAATTTTATGGTTATCAGACTTTGTGGAACTCGGGTGTTACCACTGCAAACACTATCAACAATGGAATTATCAAGAATCTAGGGATATTCATAATTTCCCTTCCAAAATGTTTGCAAATAGACAAGACACTTCTACCTAATCTTATTTTAGGCTTTAGATAAATGTCAGTCTGCACAAAGCTGTGCCAGCTGGAGATGCTTTCGTTTCCAAGCTATTTCTTGCTCCATCTTCCTCTCCCTGGCTTTTCTATCTGCTCTCTCCATTCTAGCAGAGTGGGAAGAGTGCAGTTACGGATGTGGTAACGTCCCCATTAATGAGTGTGTTGGGAGTACTATCTTCTCCCAGCAGAATGGGGTCAGGAGGCACAGATCTGTTATTCCTCCTGTTTCAAATTTTACCCTGTTTTATCTTGAGGGTATTGTATTCCAAGAAAGATTTTATTTGTGGTTTAGCACTGGGCTCAGTGCTGGTGTCAGTGGGTGCAAAAGAGCTGGACTGCCTTGCCAGCTTGTACCAGGCTGCAGAGTCCCCTCACCACCACTGCACCAGTCCCTGGATGCTGGGACAAGATTTCTGTTGAACTGGTACCTTAAACTGCTCCTCACCAAGGCCTTCGTTCTGGAGAGGGTTTTACTGAGGGATATAAAATCAAATAAAAGCATCTCTGTAAGCAGTCAGAGGTTGAGCCTGATAACCACTGACGTGCATGTGCTTCACTTGAATGTCATAGGTATTCCTAGGACAGGAGCTAAAAGACAACACCAAGGTAGTGTTTTTTCCTGTGAGAGGATGTAAATTCTGAGCTGCTGCTTTTCTACCTTTCTGCTTTGCACAAAGAGCTGAGCTTCTCGTTCAGAACGTGAACAACTTTGGGTTCTGTAATTCCCACGTGGAAGCAGGACTCTTGGATAAGATGAAAGGCACGAAGTGTGATGTCTTTTGCTTTTGCATTTCTTTGCTAGAATGACTTCTTTCAAATATTTTATAGTTGTGTATACTTTGAAGTAAACCAGTTTGCATTGGGTAGACAAATGAATGCTTTCAAGGCAGTACTTGGACAGCTGGGAAAAGTTCCTTGAATTGAAAAAAAGAGGGAGAGATACCCTGCATGTACAGAACATCTGACTTGCTGGGCTATTAAATTCACCTCTTGGCACATAGAATGTTGGTCTGTCTGAGTGGGATAGAGTAAAGCTCTGTAAGGAAGGTACAGTCTGACTTTGTCTTTGAAAGGGATTTGGTTTTGTTTCACTGGGATGGGTCTTGACTTGTGTGGTGTTTCCTAGGTACTCTCTGCCCTCGACATACTCCAGCCTCCACACATTGACTATTTTGAAGAAATGTATCCTAAATATAAAATAGAGCATCTTAATTGAGGTAGGTGTAATTTTCGTTAGCTTAGGAACTGCAACTAGTGGGTGGAATCTATGAGATAGAACTACAAACCTCCTGAGCCTGTACCTGAACAGTTTTATTTAAAGAAGTGACTCTACACTGTCAAGAGCTCTTAATTGATGTTAAAGTTGGAGGTGAAATGGTGCAGGATTGAATGTGAAGCATTGAAGATGTCAGAGCCAGCAAAGGCAGGACACTGTGGTACGTACCAACAGATACTGCTGCTGCTAATGGTGATTGCCCCAAAACAGTCATTAACTTCTTCTCAGTTGTTAGTACCTTAAGATACTTTCTGGTGTTTTCAGAGTGCTGCTGGCACATGCTTTGAAACCATGACTCTCCAGAGATGTTTCTGCAGAGTAGCTGGGCTGTGGCTTCCCTTGTTCAGCCTCTGTCTTGCTCAAGAAGACAGATTTCACACCGATAGCTAAAACGTGTCACTGATGCAAAGGTACACGCTGTCCGTGGGTGGCCGTATCACCAGGCTGCATTTTAGTACATAACTTGACATGCGAATGTCATGCTTGCTTTCATTCCTGTTCTTAAACTTTGGGTTATTTTGGGGTTTGTAGTTGGGAGTTTCAGCCTTTTTTAACTGAAAATTCAGGGTGGGTTCTTGTTGGCTGCAGCTGGAAGAGAAGTTCTGTGACTCAAAGCAGGTTGTTCTGGTTTTTAAATTGCAAGAACTTTACTGCAGTGAGTTAAGTACAGATTTATATGGTGCAGAAAGTATCTAGAACTAGCGTGAGATGTAGAACAAAAAGGTATTTTAAATAGGGGTAGTTCTGTTCTCTGCAGAGACTTTCCTAGCCACACACCAAGGATCCTAATAAAGGTTGCCTGCCTGGATTAATCTCACTGTCTGCTCTCCTCTTTATGCTATTTAAAAAATTCAACCTGCTCAGAGCCGTTTCTGAGACCTTTTTTAGCTGATAAAACCTGAATTAACTTCAGAATTTGCACTGAATGAGATTATTTGTTTATATTTTATTTCCTATGTGCGTAGGAAAATATCTCTTTGCCAGACTCCTGCCCAAAACAGTGTTAAGATTATTTGCAGAGCTTTATAAACTGCTCAGATATTTTTACAACGTGCTGTTAGTAACAAAATATCCTTTGGAGACCTTAGTGAAAGTGGTATTTTAGAGAGCAGGTAATCAAATATCCCAACACATTGACATTTCCATTACCAAATTAGCATTTCAGTGCAGGGAGCTGCCGTGCAGCTGAGGGCAGCTAATAGACTGCTGTGCTTTCTGTGGAGAACCCCACAAGCAAACGCTGAAAGTTGACCTCAGTGCTGAATTGTTGGATGTGAACACTTGACTCATACTCACTTGAAGCATGGTCAGTTACATGTTGTCTCGTGTGCACTGCTGCTCCTCTCACAGCTTCAGCTGCAGTCTCTCCAGGTGAGAATTCAGATCCAAATGGTGCAAATAAAAACCTCCCAAACCCCAAATTGTTACCAAAATCTCTGTGGATGAGGCAGGGCATTATGGCCTGGCTGCCATAAGCTGAAGGAAGATACCTGCCAGTCAATGGTCATCCGAAAAAGTATGCATATATATTCAGGAGCATACATAAAGTGTTCTGATGGAGGATTTGGGTTTATTTTCTAAAACTATGTGGGTTTAATGTAATTGTTATTGGGACCTGAGGGCTTTTGCTGTTACCTGAGTGCATGGTAACAGTTAGGTGTAGTAAAATGGAATGCACTGTCCCACAGGTGTCCACAGACTCCTACAGGTAACTCTATTAGGTTGGTGTCAGTCTCCAGTGGAGCTTTGGGTGCACCAGCGTAACAGCAGGTTGGTTTTGATTACTGATGGGTCTCTGCTGCTGTTTTGGGTGACCCACTGCAGAAGACATTTAATGGGTAGGAAATTGTCATTCTTTATTTTAACTAAGTGAACTTTGTGAAATATGGTTTGATTTATTTATAATACCTTGCATGGATTGGAGAAGAAAGGAGGTGCATTTTAAACTTGGTGAGTTTAACTCAAGTACAGCAATTATTGATCACCACATTCTTTGGTTGAAAATATTGCTCAGTCAGAGCTTTTTTGTATGAATGTGAGAGAAGGCTCTTAAATTCTGCTTTGAATTTCCTTGCCTATGAACAGCATATAAGTAGTCCTCAAAAACTGGATTTTGGTTATTAACACTAGTTCAATGGCCTCATTTTATAACAAGTCATATGAGTTATAAATCAGATCTAGGTTAAGGATTACTTCTTCTGTGTAATTGTACAATCAAGAATATTTAAATGGGATAAGCTTGTTTTTATGAGCTCAGCTACTGCCAAGTTCTGAATACAAACCCAAAAGCTTAGTTTCCTTCATTGTTAACTGATTTGAAGTCATTGTGACTAGGGTTTTATAGAGCTGTCTTTTTTCAGGTTGAGTTTCCTGACCCTCAGATTGGTGATAGAGACCATTTGCTTTGTGTAGCCTTCTCTCTCCTTTCTTCTGTAATAATTGCAGTGAATGCACTTAGGACCCTTAAATTCATTAGAATAAAGGAATTAAATCTAGTGAGATTTCTGTTTTAGAGTGAGAATTCTTTGCAAACTTTTAGATTGGGATATAATTTGAATGTATAATAACATTTTAGATTGAAAATCTGTGTGAGCACTTGGCATATTACACAGGTATTGATATTTTGCCAATATCACCTAGTGCAAAAAGGAGTAGGTAATGGAGCATATATTATTCTGGGTGTTGTTGAAAAAGAGATTGTTGGTGAACTTTAGGCTTTTATATTCATCATTAAGTTCATCATTAAGCTGAAGTTCAAGGCTTATCCCTGTAATCAAGGCTTATCCCTGTAACCATCAGTTTACCTTGGTGGAAGAGAAGCATACACTAGGTTGGATGATGTCTGGTTCTGTTGTGTGCCTGCTTCCCTGGGTGGGCTGGCCTAGCTTTAAAACACATCACTTCTAGGGGTCAAGAGTGACACAGGTTTTGCTAGAGCACCTAAGAAGTATTTCATTGCAGCTGCCGTATCTGTTAATTCTGACTGGTTTTCATGATAGGTTTACAGCTGGACTCTGATCTAAAAAGTATTTTCCAACCTAGGTGATTCTAGGATTCTCTGGTTTATAGCTCTCTTTTTCCCAGTTGCAGAATCTCCTGCAGTTGATTTTAATGCTGAATTCTGCACCTGGATACGCAGACATTTTCTTTCAAGACCTCTCCTAAGTTTCTGTAGTAACTTTGTGAAAACTCTTCCCATGAAAGTGACTGGTAGAAGCAGCTGAGAAGAAATCACTTTTGTCAGCCTCGCTGTACTGACTTGGAAAGAAAGATTTAAATACCAGTAGAAGCAAAGGTGTGCAGTAATTCCTTCCCACTGATCTTATTAAGAGGTGAAAGAACTGTTTTCTGACAGATTACGGTGTAAATCCCTCATATATGTAGGCTGCAGGAGGGTAGACAGGGACAAGGTAAGATCTGGTTCCAGCAGCCTGTAAAAGAGACAATGCCCACACTGTTGGGGTACCAAGGAGGGTAGGGTCAGGCTTCCTGTTCTGTCACAGTACCCTTAGAAAGAGTTCCCTTGTTTAAGTGCTCATCTGAAATGTCATCGCAGCGAGTTCCTCTGGGCCAGCACACAGCCAGGGACCTCAAGGATTAAGAGGATTAGTATCCTCTGTGGAAAGCTGCAGGTTGCTGATTTGCAGCGGGTAACACAACAGTTTATAGTGCTGGGTCAGGCAGGATTGTGACTTAGGTTCTCACTGGATACCCATAAGAGCAGAGGGGCTTGATGTACTTTGTGCAGGTAATGCAAGTGTGTGCTGCCATTGTCAGACAGTGAAGTGTCTGAGGGAGCATCCTCGATGTCTGCTCGGATGAACTGTGCCAGAGTGGCTGTTCCCTGCAACACGAGGCTGCTTTGCCTTGGGTTAAAGTTCTGCTTTACCAGCAGTAAGGTTGTGATGCTTTGATTCCAGTTTCTGCAAAAGCTGGTTGGATAATGCTGGAACTGTGAATGTTTTCCCCACTGTGCATTGGAAGTCCCTCCAAAAGCTTCTGCCAGTGCTTGTCTGTGCTCTGGGACACGTGCCATAGATTGCCGTTTCTGCATAGCACAAGTAGAGGTGACTTGGTGGCAAATATTTCAGTAGTTTTGCCTGTAACAGAAAAGTCAGCAAATTTTAAACATCAAATAAACATAACTTAAGGAATAATTTAGACAGGCATTAGATTAATTATTGTTTAATAATTGTTGCACTGTTTTTACATGGACCAGGTCTTTTTCCCCCCATGTTTTCAGTATTGATATAAAACAAGGAGTATTTCTACCAGCAAGGTATGAAGTCTGCAAAGAGTTAGAGGTGGCATCACAAATTTAGCTTGGTGTGATCCTAACGTAAACCCAAGTATAACTGAAGTACACTAGAATAAGAGAAACCCCTTTGTTTTATAGAAATACTGAAATACGAGGTTTGTTTTGCTCTTAAAAAGCCTGTTTCCTGCAGGGTCATGCATGGAGGCACCTCCCCACCGCTAGCATCCAGCCATGCCACCAGCCCCAGGACTTGCTCATGGAACACAGAGCTGAGTTCTGTGGTGTGCAGAGGGCCAGCACTCAGGAAGCAGGACCTGAGTGGGGACAGGGACACCCATCACAGGGTGTTCTCCATTCCGTTTTCACACGTGTGTGCCCCTTGCAGGATTTACCAGCTCAGCAGCTCTCCCAGGGAACAGAGCAAGGGAAGTTCTTTTGTGCCCAGCATTTGCCTTGGTAATTATTGCAAAGCAAATTGGAACATTTGTAGTTCTAATTTTATACAGCTACTTACCTAATTACTGCTGTCAGGAGCAATTTCTCTCTGGTCGCAGCGCTCAGCTTAGCTGCGTGCTCCAGCTCCAGTGACCAGCTCAGTGCCAGCACGTTTTATGGGTCTGCTTGAGAAAGACAACTGCAGGTACCTGTTTGAATGGCTGAAATCCCAGGGGGGGTTGGCTTTGCTGAACGTTCATCCTGGCCGGAGCAAAGTCATCGACCTGCTCGGTCCCGGCTCTTTGAGGAGCTGCCGTGTTTGTAAGAGGCAGGAAGGTGAAGCAGCAAGTGCTGCCGCTGCTCTTGTTTCGAGACCCTCATTAAATTATCTAGAGACAATAATCAGAGAGCTGCTGCTCACGTTAATGGCACCTCGGAGCCCCTGTCAAGAGAGCTTTATTTAATGCTCAACAGACCTGGAGTGCTGCAGGTGCCATTTCAGGCCCTCATTTAATTTAAGCTGCTTTAGTTGGCATGGCAACTAGTTGAGACATCTGGGAGACATTATGTTGGGATTGAGATTTAGGGGGATTTGCGGCGCAGCGCAGCAAAAATCTGATCAGAATAAAGTGCAGAGTAATGCTTTGGGATTACTTTTAATATTTGACATTAACAGTGAAACACAGAGATCTGGTGCAGCCACAAGGTGAAAACCAGAACGTCAAAGGCTGGTATAAATATTTAAGAGGGCCTTTGCACGAGGAAGAGAAAAATGAGAGGACTCGAAATTACGGTGCTGCGGGGTTGGCTTGCGTCTCATGAATTCTTTATGACTGCAATGTTAATTTGCTTTGGGTTTGGTCAAAAAGTTGGCGATATTTAACTTCCAAAATGAATTTCTGTGTGGTGTGCTGGGGGCAGGGGAGCACTTTGGCTGATGGGGATTTGGCCAGAGAGGGTTTGCAGAGCAACAGATGGAAGTAGAACCTTGCTTAGGTACAGATGCAGGAGAATGGGAGTTTTCTCTAGGTTGTCAGTTGGTGCTAAAGGTGAGAACTGGTTGAAGTCTGAGCCCAAGCTGACTTGCTGTGTTACACAAGATGAGGATCTTGACTGAAGTCAGGGTTTGCTGTTGCATTTCAGGCTTGATGTGTAGGGGTTATAAAGAGCACTGAACCAACTGATAGGCTCCTGCAGGATAATGGGGAGAGGTAAAGTCAAAGCAAACCCAACCCCTTGAACCAAGAATGAACCTGGAGCACTGGGGGAGACACTAGACCGGGGCTCAGGAGCTGCAGGTTTATTTCTCACTCTCTCCTTGCTCTTTCCCATAACCTTGGCAGTGTGCACCACCTCCCTGCTGCCTTTGGTCTGTTTGAAGGTGGCAGAGCTTGGTGTGACTCCAGCGCCCTGCTTAACCCTCACCTTAGCACCAGCCACAGCACGTACAACTCTGTGTCCCTGCCAGTAGTTGTGACCGTCGCTGTGCTCTGCACATCCACGAGGACATGAAGCAGTGGGTTATGGGGTTTAGCTCTTCCTCCAAGTAAAAGTTTGGGGTTTTTTAATCTCCTGTTATAACTCAGAAGAGGGTTTATCACTGGGGTTCGTATGCATGCGGATTTGATGCTTGAGGAGGGTTAAACCATGTGGATGGATGTCCCCTGTGAAGATGCTAACTTCAGCTGTTTGTAATTTATGGCTTACTGATCTGAAGGAAAAACCCTAAAGGATCCAGGAGTGATTGATTCTATTAATTAACGTTTTGAGTTGCAATTTGCCTTTGGAATGATGCTGTAGCAACCACCTTAATGCAGATGCTGCTTCATTGAGTTAGCTCTGCTTTCACAACCCGTTTTTCATTTTCATTCTTGTAAGAGTCTGTGACTTGACCTCTGAGGAAGCTTTATTCTTGTTCACTCAATAGCTCTGACCTGAGAGAGCTCAGGTCCCTGAGGTAGGAGTGAATGTTTCAGTGGATTATGTGCTGAACTTCCTGCTTTTGCCTTAACTAATGAATTGAAGATATGTTGTCACCGAGTTGATGCAGAGTGACCTCCATAAGATTATCGTCTCTCCTCAGCCACTCAGCTCGGATCATGTCAAAGTTTTTCTTTACCAGATTTTAAGAGGTAATTTTTATTCTTTTCAATTCATTAAAATGATGTAGTTTGGGGTGGGGGTTTTCTGGTTCTTAATGTTAATTCTCAAGACATCCTCATCTTGAGCAAGTTTCCCGTTCTTTTTAATTCACATTATGAATGAGTAGCAAGCATTGATTATAATAGGCATAAGAACATCGCAGCACTGCTGCCTCCTGTCATAGCCATGGGTAACTTACGGAGCAGCAAGAGGCTGCTGCTTCGTTTGAAAGGGAAAAAGTATTTATTTTCATTTCCTGTGCTATTTCAGGTCTGAAATATCTCCATTCCGCTGGCATTTTACATCGAGACATTAAACCAGGGAACCTGCTCGTGAACAGCAACTGTGTTCTGAAGGTGCTGCTTAACTTCATTGAAAATGTCCATATGTGTCTGCTGCTCAGTAGAAACTCAGGGTGAATTTTTAAGCAAAAGCATTTAATGTGAACCCCGAAAGTCATTTTAAAGACAAAAATCCCACAGATTCTTTAGAAGCTATAAATGAATGCTGAATGTATATAAAATAGTCAGTTTTGTTTGCAGTGCTTTGCTCAGCATCTGATTGTGATAGTTTGGGTCTGTTCCCTTAAGGCTTCTGGTTCAAGTCTTAAAAACTCTCAAAGCCCAAGTGAGCAGAGGCTGAAGCTTTCTGTAACAGTTGAGGCATCTCATGAGCAAATGAAATCTGGTTTGGGATGAAATTGTCTGTACCCAGAGGTTGGCAAGGTTTGTGTCTTTGTGCTAGGGTAGAGGTTTTTCATCTCCGAGATGATAAATATGGTGATACCAACTAAAACATGCTGTAACTTAAACTGCAGAAAGCTTAAGTGGATGTGGCATAAAGTAGCGTAATTCCTGCCATTCCCCTTCCCCTTTGCTTGCGCAGCTACAGCAGATAGCTGGTTTGTTTAAATGCTGCCTTGGAATTCCCTGCTGCGTTACCAGAAGGTTGCCTGCTTGAAGTGCATTAAATGTTTTGGTTATTTCAATTTTCTTATTTACCTTCTCAATTTAGATTTGTGATTTTGGATTGGCCAGGGTGGAAGAGTTAGATGAATCTCGCCACATGACTCAGGAAGTTGTCACCCAGTATTACCGAGCTCCAGAGATCCTGATGGGCAGCCGCCACTACAGCAATGCTATTGACATCTGGTCTGTAGGCTGCATCTTTGCAGAGTTACTTGGGCGAAGAATCTTGTTTCAGGCACAGAGTCCCATCCAGCAGGTATAAGCACATTCCCCTTTAACGTTGTTTTACTGCATCATTTCATGGAATCACATACACTGATGCCCTTTGAACCTCCAACTTGCTTTTGTGTTGCTTGGTTTGCACACAGGAGAGACCCCGAGCTGCTTCTGAAATCAGAAGTGATGGCTTCAGGCAGTGCTGAAAGCAGTGGTTATTCACATTAGCTTCTGAAATGTGTAATTTTTTGTAATCCCCTGTAATCTGCTGCAGTTCCAAAGCTGCTGTAGCGTTTCAGTGAGATAAGGTAGAGGTGATACAACAGGGATCAAGCTTTCTGAACAGCTCTTATGAGAAAGTAGCAAGCTTTCTGTCCAGATGTAACTGGAGAAGGCAGAGATTCCTTCTGGCCCAAACTGGTAACTTAACCTCCCAGGTCCGTGGCGTGTGGCCGGAAGAGGTCAGTTGAATGCAGAATGAATGGTTTCTGACACCAAAATCTGTTTTTTAATGCTTTATAATGCCCCCATTTGATGGCTGCTGACGTGAAGTCAGGCCTCCTGGTGAAACTCTTCCTGAGCACATGGGAAATGCAGGGGCTGAGCCAGGAGCGTTTCTACCTTGGGAGGTGAAACAGGAACTTCCAGGAACTCGTTGAGAAAATCATTTCCAGTGGTTTTTCTTGTGCCCATTTTTCATGCCTTAAATGTAACTCAAGTTAACTGAAGTTAACGACCTGCTGTCGTGGTGATGTGTGTAATGTGCGCCTGAGGTCTCAGATGTGTGTGCTCTGTACCTGCAGCTGGATTTGATCACAGACCTGCTGGGAACGCCGTCACTGGAAGCGATGAGGACGGCTTGTGAAGGCGCCAAGGCACACATACTCAGGGGTCCTCATAAACAGGTATAGCTGGGGGTGCCTCACCTTCACCTTCCATCAGCCCGGATCTCCTCTGTGCAGGGCACTGTTGGGACATCCTCGCACTGTGCCACCTCTTGCCCAAGTTCTCTTGTTCATAAATGCTTTGGGTATTTAATCTCAGCGCTGTCTCTGCCTGTAAATGAGGTTCAGTTCACCAGGGGTGGCTGTGGTGTGGCAGTGGCAGGGGTTAATGTACTGTTAAGAGATATGGAGATTTGCTTGTGCAGGAATGCATGGAATCGTAGGCAGTGATAAAGCAATGTGTCCATCCAGTCTGGTCATTTTTATGACTGTTTGATAGTAAAAATTAACCAAATTAATAACCTGTCCCTGGGAAGACATCAGATCTTTCCAGCAGTTAAGTTTGTCTCTTTATGTTGAAGTAAATTCTCAGATGTCTACTCACCACAATAGTAGTTACCATAGAGATGAGCACTGAATGTATATTCTGCTCTATTATTAACTTGTGGGAGTTCTGCTGCCTTGGCACTTTGGATTCACTACATCAAGTTGTCTCTATTCCATTTTATGACAGGTTTTTTTCTGCTAACATTAATAATAGGAGGGTTTCCTGAAGTCTTTCTCTAGCAGTTTTAAAACAAATCAAGTGTATTTTTTTGCTATCACTTGCTAGAGGAGTTGTGACTCCGAAGCTCTGCTCTGTAACGTGCTGGGGTGATGCACTTACAAGGCTTGAGGTGTTTAGAAGAAAGGAAGTTCTGTAGTGGTGGAAACTGGGAGAAATACATCCACTGTACCTATATATACAGATGTGCAGCAGCATAAACCACATCCATGTGCTTTACAGGATACATGGCTTTAAATTCTGATAATGTGATGATAGCTTGACATTTCCAAAGTGCAGGAGTTGTGCTCTTTGTGGCAGTAAGCAGGAACTCTGGAATGTGTTAGCTTCGTTCCGTTTGTTACACCAGGATGCTCTATCAAGAACTGAAGTGGGTACATTAATGTCTTCTGAGTTTCTCATCCCCATGCTAAGGCTGTTCTTGCCCAAGCCTCTGAAATTCTTTGTCTCTTGACCCACCAAATGATGGGAATACTAAAAAGCAAGTGAGGTGAAATGGGTTAAAACATTTCCAATAGAGATTTAATGCTCCGTAGGCACCAAGTCATCGGAAATAAACTATAAGCATTAGTTCTGTGTTTGCTGAGGAAAACACCGTTCATTTTCCATGGAATGCCACAGGAGCTGAGCAGTCTCTGGAGCTCGTTTGCAGCTCAGAAATAGGGGGTTATGGTGCAGCAAAGTGATCTCTTGAATGGTGTTTCTCTGGTTTCAGCCCCAAGCACTCTTCACGTCTGAATGCAAATTCATGGCTTTTCATCTTTTGGAATGGAGGCTTTGGTGGTTATAAATAGCTAAATGTTACCAGCTTCTTTATTAGATTAATAGGGGGAGAAAACCAAGTTGGCACTGGCGATCCCTCTGCCGCACAAGCTATTTTTACGCGATGTAGGTGAGCCCAGTGGGAGTTGGGGGGTGAAGCGTTTTGCTGCTTCATGTAAAAATAGATGAGTGCCTGACGTTCCTGGGCGCAGCCCCACACCCGTGTGCGCTGCCAGCAGGGAGGTGCACAAACTGAGCAGGCTGCTCTGGCACTTCTGGGTTTAAAGCATTCACTTCAACCTCTGTGGAAGTGGACCGGTAGCGCTGCTCGACTGGAGCAGGAGGAGGAGCATCTCCTCCCACGTGCCCATGTGCTGTAAGGAGCGGTTTGGAGTTCCCTGGCAGTCAGGGGCTGACCCACTTCTAAAAGGAGAACGTGTTGGAGTTCATTCCCTTCCTGATGTGGCCCTTGGATTCTCTATGGAAGAGAGAGATCCCCTGGGATGCACCCGACTTGCTACCAGACCCAGCCGTTGATTCCATGACAATCCAATGTTAGGGCAATTCAGTTTTTACCAGTTCCTTCTGCCCGTGCTCGAGCTCCTGTCAGGGCTGTTTCTGACCTCTGGCTTTGGGCCTGGCTGCAGTTTGTCAAGAACAGGTTGTTCCAAAAGCTCTGCACAACCATGTGCTCTTGGAACGGCAGGCAAGGGGCATTCAGAGTAGCAAAAGAAGTGCATCCTTCCTTTGTGTTGAGTGCAAGAGCATCTGTAAGTAAGGAATGCTGTGCTGTCCTGCCCATGCCCCGGTGTGCGGATGAAACCACAAGGCCTTTTCACCCTCAGCTAGAACTGGGAGCTCTCAGCTGTTCAGGCTGCCCTGGGTCTGAGCAAAGCAAGGGAACACAGGAGGATGATGACCTGCAGAGCTGTGTCTGTGACCAGAGCAGGAGCCTCGCTGCTGCTGCCCCCAGCTTCTGGCCTGTTCCAGCCTGGGTGAGCCTCATGGTTCATAAAGCAGGGGGAGGCCAGTGAACCCCCTCCTGCTCCCCCGGACCCTCCAGCCTTGGTCCTGGCCTGTTTATGCAGGATACTGATGCCTGAAGGTCACTGTAATTGTGCTGGATGTCCCTGTCAGATATGGATTGCAGGGGTAAGGAAAAGCAAAACAATCCCTAATTTGGCAGTGGCCAAGATCAGGAATGGGGAATACTGGAAAGGATGGGGTTAACGAACCCCTGAGTGAAATACAGGTTTGTTCAGGGATTGCATCTGAACGAAGGCAAAAAAAATCAATTGGATCCATAGTAGAATTGCTGAGTTCTGTAATAGTGGGGTTTGTCTCTTTGGGAAGCGTTAGGCAGCGAATGTCCTTTTCAACAGCAAGTTTGTCCTTGGTAACTGTAAAATAACACGGGTGGTAACAGCGTTCTGCTGCTGATGGATCTGACAGGACAACTCTCTGTATTTTCTGTCTCCCATTTCCCCTACAGCCATCTCTTCCTGTCCTATATACACTCTCCAGTCAAGCTACACACGAAGCAGTTCATCTCCTTTGCAGAATGTTGGTCTTTGATCCAGTAAGTATGCTTTAAAATTACTTCTAATACTGTTTGTTTCAACACTTTTTATTGCCTGCTACTTAAATGAGTATTTTAAGTAAAGAACTGCTTTAACTGGCTTCTTCCACGTGCATTTTCTGGTGCTTTTGGTCTGTAAAAGACATAAAAGCATCATCTTGGAATGGGTCAGTTAATTCCCCACTGGAATGGGGGTTTGCATTGAAAACCTATTGGTCTTCTGAAGGAAGCGGCGACAGGGTGTGAAAGAGGAGGGTGTTGGTGACTCACGCTCGCTTTTCCCAGCGAGGTGTAGGTAGCAGAACATCAGATCCTTTGCTGCTGTTCTAATTAGAGGCATGTGGGTGTTCGTGGTCTTGCAACACACACAAGATTCCTTCTGCATCCGCACAGTCACATAACAGGATCTCGCTTTCCACCCAGCATCTGTTTTCCTAATGAAAATGAGCTGCTGTGGGCTCATGGTACAGAACTGGTACCGGAATCGATGATTCCTGCATTCCTGCAGACCCCCCCTGCGTTTCAAATGGAATCGGACATTGGCCACGCTGCACAGGGGAGCTTGTGCCTGATGGAGCATTCAGAAGGCTGCCCCCTGTGTGTAGGATTTTAAACCTCCAGTTTTACTGCACAAACCAGATGTTAAATCCTAACTTCAACAGACCTCAGCGGTTTCCTTTCTTACAATGCTGTGATTCGGTGTTCCCACGTCACGTTTAAATACCTGCGGGTTTGTGTTTTAAAGGCCCAGGATGATCCTTTAGCAGTGCTGATTCCCAAACATACCCTGGGAATTGGGACACGTGGGTTTTCCTTCCAGCTTTGCCACTGCTTTTGCTCTGTAACCTTCTATACCAGCGGGTTTGGTTACAGGCTCTCAGCAGCAATTCTGCCCCAGTCCTCCCAGTGTTCTCTTTCTTTGGCTGATGCTTTGCTCAGGTTATGCACAAAACCCCTTGGTAACGTGGAAGCAGCTTTTGTAATTCCAGCCCCTGCTCTGCCCCTTCTCCCTTGCGTTTCCTTCACCGCTTGTCTTCAGAAACTCGATGTGCAAAGTGGGTTTGAGAGCTCCAGGTGCCGTATCCTGACCTGTTACCGGTGATGCTCACATCTGTGTTTCACTTTGGACACACTGCAATGTTTTGCAGACCCACAAAACTCACATTTGCCAACATTCAATTCTTTGGGCTCATTTTGATTTATAGAGTCCCGATGTGAAGGTTATTTTGGAAGGAACTGGTGAAAAGCACGTTTCTGAAAACCCCATCAGTAGCATCATCTGTCAGCAGCTCTGGCACAGGAGGGTCAGAGTCAGCCCCGTGCTGCTGCTGCTGCTGCTGGTTTCTGAGCAGAACCTCCCCTCTAGTGGCAGGGTTTGCAGATCCAGAGCATTTCGTAACGTGAGCCAATCCTTTAACACGATAGAGGGTTATAAACCAAGTCAGGTTCTTTAGGCTGCTCCAGCACCTCTGCAGACGTTGGAACTGATCTCTTCTGTTTTCCTCAATGCCATGTTTCAGTCCAAAAGGATATCTGCTAAGGATGCCTTAGCCCACCCGTACCTCGACGAAGGGCGCTTGCGATACCACACTTGTATGTGTAAATGTTGCTTCTCCACATCCACTGGAAGAGTTTACACGAGTGACTTTGAACCCATCACTAACCCCAAGTTTGATGACACTTTTGAGAAGAACCTCAGTTCTGTTCGGCAGGTGAAAGGTGAGTAGCAGTTATCCTTGCATCTGCATTTACCCTCTTGCTCCATCCCTTAGTCCTGTGTGGGCAGGATGTGCAGCCTGCTGTCAGTCAGGTGAAATGAGGAGAATCAGGCCTGGTCCCTGGAGGAGGAAGCTGCTGCCACAGAGGATCACTAAATGCCAGCAGTTGCTCTGTGGCACTGGAGATTTGAAGTCTGATTCCACCCCAGCAAACAGGCCATAAACCAGGCTTTGTGGCTTCTGCAGCCAGATCCAGTGAGGAAAGCAGAGCTTGAACAAGAGCAGTGCGATCCGAGAAGCAGCGGGAGGGATTTGGGCTCTGTTTGGTGGCAGCTTGAATGACTCCAGAGGAAGAGAGGGACAAGAAATGTGTTCCTTCAGCAGTTCCTGACAGCCAGTTCCATCGCATGGAGCCCAGTCCTGGCACCCATTGCATGGAGGAGCAGCCCCTTGCCAAACCTGCCATTGGTTACACCCTAAAACTGGGATTTAACCCGTAACTGGTTATCACCAGTTCAGTGTTGTAGTGGTGACTGGGGTTTTATTTCATATATAACTTCATTCCAGTGTGCACAGAAGAGTTCTGTGTGAATCTGGGTGGTGAGGTCTGGCACTGGATTCGATGCTGGGAAGCTGGAATTCTCTGCTCCTTCTGGAAGTGTCCTTGCAGTGGAGGAAGCTGCATTTCCCTCCAGCCTACACTGCGTTTCACTGGAGCAAAGTGTTAATTCTGTGGTGTTGTGTGCTCTTCCCCTATGTACAGAAATAATTCATCAGTTCATTCTGGAACAGCAGAAAGGAAACAGAGTGCCTCTCTGCATCAACCCTCAGTCTGCTGCTTTTAAGAGCTTTATTAGGTAACTGTATGTACTCACATCTGATATTCACATTTATTAGTAGTACAGAATTCACACATCCCATATGCTGTATGTTTGAAGTTTCTAAGAGTAAGGAAAGGCCCAGAGATAACTTTTTTTGGGGAAAACCCACCTTTGTATGATTACGTTTTAGGATATCTCAATGAATTCTTCTAGAATTTAAAGTGAAATGTGCCAAGGTTTCCGGTAATATTTTTGTGTAAAGCACAGAATTCAGGCTGAAAATGAGAACTGGGGGGGGGGGCGTTGATTGCAGACCCACGCTGTAAAACCAGTCAGGGGCAGGCCCGATGGGTGGAGAACCACCAAGCCCAGCAGTAGGTGTGGTGCAGGACCGGTTGTTACCGGTGGCTCTGGGGTGTTTGGGTTGGGTTTGGGGCTCCAGCGTTAACTGTGGTGTCCTTGAGCTCTTGGGAGTGAGCACTGACTGTGTGTGTCGCTGCCTTGCAGTTCCACGGTTGCTCAGCCATCCGAGATGCCGCCATCTCCATTGGTCTGGGAGTGAAGTGGAAGAGAATAAACTACTGAAGATGTAATGTAGCTTTCCACTGGAGCCTGGGATTTGCAATTCTGGAGGTTAATCATGCTTGTACTGTAATTTTACTAATGAAGTTTTAAATTAACAACCACTACTTGTACAATATGAATGATATTTAGAGCCGTACTAGACTTTTAATCTTGTAAAGTGGTTGTGCTTTTAGAAGAGAATATTTCCCCCAGAGCTGCACGTGTTGGATGAATTGTGGTGCAGCTGCGGTGGCTCAGCTCGGAACAAACGGAATCGAACCAAATTTGGGGAGGGTTTGTCTTTTCTTTTCCTTTCTGTTTTCTATTGCAGTGAGTCTGTACAAACACCTTTTGATATTGAGCCATTCCTGAGGATTTTGGGTTTTCTAAAACTAAGGAATACAGAAAACTTGACTGCGACCAATCATGAAGTCACGTCGGGCGATGGCACGTCCCCGACTGAGCCCTATAAATAGCTTCTCACTAGAGCTGTGATGGTGATGTGTGCTGTTCTAAAACCAGATGTTGTGAGTAGAGAGAATGAGTTTGTGACTAGGAGAGACTAAACTTCTGTTTCCTCACCCAGTATAAATATATATATATATTTAATCTATTTTTATTAGAAGGTTTTCTGCTCTTTCTTACATGAAACCCCCCAGCATGCATCTCTGTGTGTAAATAATGCCATTGATGGGCTGATTTGGGCGCTCCCCGGCATCGTTGCTGTATAGAGAGGAACTAGCTTGCACATTTTAGGTCTGTGAAACTTTGTGAGAACTTTTTCCTGCACTGGAGAGTTGAGGAGAAAAAAAAAAAAAAAGGAAAAAAAAAGGAAAAAAAGGAAAAAAAAAAAAGCCCCTGGGGAATTCTGTGACTTGGTGTTCGTGGCTTTAGGCAGAGCTGTGCAAGTCTTGAGATGTCACCGTAGGACCTGACTTTGGTTACCGTTTGGCTCATTGTTTTTCTGTTGGAACACTGAATTCTGTGCATATGTATATATGTGAACACAACTGAAGGCCTCTACCTCCTGGAGTGTACAACTTGCTTTGTTTACCTCCACATGAGTTTTGTTTTTTTAAGTTCAGCGTGGAGACTCGAAACTTGAATGTCCCAACTTTTGTATTTAAACCGAGACAGGAAAACCCCGCGCCTGTTTTTCACCCGTACCAAGGGATCCGCAAGGGTGGTGTGAGCCTGGGAGCAGCGGTCTGGAGGGAACGCGTGTGCTTGTTACGGACAATTAACTGTTAAAGTTATTGTAAGTTATCTGTATTTAGCAGAGTATTTTCAACACGAGTGATCTGAGCTGCAACTGGAGATGTCAGTAAGTTATGGGTGGAAGTTTTAACTTCAATGAAGTAATTATTTGCTGTGAAAGAGAGGAATAAGGTGGGATAACGGAACAAAGATGGGGCGATGTCTTTGTTTCTGTACGAGGCTCCTGAGAATAAAACCAACTGAAGCATTTCAATTCACTTGAATGAGAACCGTGTGTAATTCCAGAGCCCAGGGCGACACTGGTGTGACAGGTAAAATCTCAGAGGTTGGTCAGTTAATGTGGCACACTTGCTGGTCACTTTGTAAAGTGTAGATTTGAAGTACAGTGGTGAAAACATTAAATGTGACATTTGAAACCGGAGTGCTGGTATCTTCATTTCCTGCCCGAGCCCCCCGCATTTACCAGTGAATTGTTCTGATCCGGATCGAGTTCTGGCTGAGAGGATGCGAGTAAAAAGCCTTTCTAACAGCTGCCTTGGGCATGGTTTTGATTTTTACACACACACACACACACACATATATATACACACACATATATATATGTATACATACACACACATATAGGTACATGGCACTGTGTGCTGAAGTCGTGTAGCACCCAGCCACAGGCCCTGGCTGCACCCTAACCCTGTGTGTGCCCGTCCTGCAGGAGCCGAACCGGATCCCCTGTGGAGCGGAAGCCGCTGAATGAACCCCGTGTCCGGATGCTGCCGGTGTCACCGCCGGACACAAACGGGTTCATCTGGGGGGGCGGGAAGGTCCCGTTCCCCCCTCCGGCACCGCATGGGCGCGCTTGTGCCGGTGATGGGGATGGTGCCGGTACCGGAGGGGGCCCCGTTAACGCGGTGGCTGCCGGGCGGGCAGAGCCGGGCGGACCCGCTCCGCACCCTGCTCGTGCGGGGCTTCCGCAGCCGTTGAAGGGGGCGTGGCCCCGGTGGCGCGGGGAGGCGTGGCCCCGCCGGCAGGGGGCGTGTCCGGTGTGGCGGCGATGGCGGCGGCGCCGCGCTGGCGGGAGCGGCTGTTCGCGCTGTTCTTCCTGTCGCACGTGCCGCTGACCGCGCTCATCGATGCGCAGCCGCTGCTGCCCGCGGGGCTGCTCCCGCAGGCCGTGAGTGGGGACGGGGGCGGTGCGGGGGGGGGGCTCCGCAGCATCCGGTCTGTGCAGGCACCGGGGGGGGGGGTGTGAATGGAGCCGCATTTAACGCACTGCGTCCGTGCTGTCTCCAGGGCGGGTTTTGCTTGAGCCCCCCCCCCGCTGTGCACGGCCCGGTCCGGCCCGGCCCCCGTGACACGCCCGCAGGTCGGGAAGCGCTCCCCGCGCGGGGCTCCCTGGGCCTTGGGTTTGGTCCTGCCCCTGCCCAGGCCTCAGCCCCGCTCGTGCTCCCACCGGAACGTGCGCGGGGCCTGGGACAGCGGCGGCCGCAGCTGGGGGTGGTTTGCGGGGATCGGAACAGGGGACAATGAACACCAGAACATCAGTTAGAACGGAGGTGGGTGGAAAACAGCTCTGGGCATCAGGGTGAGCGCAGCCAGAACCTCTGTGAGCTTTGCAACGAGGGAATTCGGGGTTTGCCATCAGAATTGCCTGTGGAATTCCTCCACTTACAGCAACCGTTTGTCATTAATAGTTAACCAGCAGATCTCAATACATATCTCTGCGTCCAAAGTCCAGTGTAAAACCCTGCTGGAATTTACCTTTCTGTCATGGAAACGCTGAGCCAGGTGCTTGCCTTGAGCTGTACCTGGGTTTTACCACCAGTGATGCTCCAGCAGCCGGGGGTCACCGTTCTGCTGCCGTTGATGTTCAGTGCACTAACGTGTTGCTCTGTTCTGTCTCTGAAGCTGACGGAGATGCTGCAGTGGTACGCAACCACCTTCAGGGACCCCCTGATGCTCCAGCCCCCGGAGTGGTTCAAGGCGTTTATCTATTGTGAAGCTTTCCTGCAGCTGCCCTTCTTCCCCATCGCAGCCTACGCCTTCCTAAAAGGTTGGTGTAAAGCGAGTGTACAGCATGTTGTGTGTGGTGCTGCCATGCAGCCTGCGTTCTGTGCAGCAGGGGTTGGGGTGTGGGTAAGCAATGGCAGGGGTGTGCCAGTGGAGCGCTGCCTTGTTCTCAGGGCAAGTTCCATCTGAGACAGCAGGACAAGGGCTGTTGCAAACGAGGCCATCACTACAGGCCTGGTCAGCTGCAGTCATTTACATGGGACCAGCACCATGGTTTGACACCCGGTGTGCTCCCGAAGGAGATGAGTTCCAGGTACTCATTGTGCTACTTGAAACGTTTGTGATCGCACTGCTGTTCTGCATGTCCACAAATGTACGTAATTCTCCTGGGTTCTTACTAGTACTTAACATTTTTTCTGCTAGCTATTTACTGTATCTTGTGCCTTTCCCTGTCAGAGCTAGAGCAGTTAATGTGCAGGTAGTTTACAAGCTGCTGAATCCTCCTTGCTTCAGAACACTTAAATACGCTTCCTTTTGCTGCCCTGCAGGGAGCTGCAGGTGGATAAGGACTCCGGCCATTATCTACTCCACGCACGTGGCTACCACTCTGGTGGCCATCCTCGCGCACATCCTGTTCCACGACTTCTCGGGGCCGGAGCAGCTGGGGCCTCGGACGCAGCGGGAACGCCTCGTGCTGCTCTCCGTGTACGTGCCCTACTTGCTCATACCGCTGCTGCTGCTTTACACCATGCTCTACAACCCCCACTACAGCCACGTGGAGAAGCGGAAACGGAAGTAGCCCGCTCTGCGGGTCGTACGTCCAACGCTGACGTGTTCCTCTGGGACAGAGGCTGTGCCATGGGGGTGCCATTCCCAGCGCACCAGCTCCCACAAGGAAGAACGGGCTTGGTGTGAGCTGAGCCCCGCGGCTGCGGCACACACAGGGAAAGGCAATTCCCACCTTTCCCTGTCCCACTGTGCCCTCTGCAACGGGAAACCGGACTTCAACCACCTGATGTGTAACTGCGTGCTGGGGGGACGCTGCCACTGATCCGTGCTCCCAAGAGGACTGCCAGGAAACCACTTCAGTCAGAAACATGTCTTCCAAGAGCTGGTTACACACAGATCCCCAGAGTGATGCTTTCAACACATTCCACATCCTACAATCGCTCTGAGCTTCCTCGCCCCTTTAAAATCCCACCTTCCTCTGCTCTGCTTCAGTTTTGATTAATTGTTGGTTAATTTGCTCAGTGATAATGCGCCCAAACTTGGATTTACTGATGCCTGAAGTGACCTTCGTTGGACACTGAGGCATCATTCCTGGGGGATTCTCAAGTACGTCAGGGATCGTGAACAAGGGTTTGCAGTTTCTCTCTCCATAAAATCACTTCTCATGTGGAAATAAATAACTAAACGCATTAAACTGCACTTAGTTTTCTTCAGGGAATGACTAAAAGGAACTTCATGACCATGAGGCAGTGCAGAGTTCCCACAGTAAATGTACGTGTAAGGTACAGTGAAGAGAACCTGCCACTGACAGAAACCCAGGGGTGGTGGGTTTGGCTGTGGGGTTTTTAAGTTCTCAATTTGAGCTGCAAGAACCAAACTTGAGGAGTTTCATCAGTCTGGGGTTCCATCACTTCCAACACGCACAGTATTCAACTCTAGTGGTACTACCGGTATGGATGTACCTTGGGCATAGCTTAAAGTTCTTAATTCAGCCGCTTTCCTGCTGTTTGTGTGTGTGTAATTGATCCATTCCAGTACCTGTAAACCTCTTGGCTTTTCCCAACTCCATGAAAAAATAATCTGGCCAATACATGTAGAAGTTACTGCTGCTTGCATGCTGTGTCTTAACAGGCAAGACAAATACTACATGTGACAACCACTGTGACTGTCCAGGAAGCTGTAAACCCTGAAGCTCAAGGCTGACCTTCTGCAGAAGTCCCTAATTCTGGGGTCTCCAGAGAGTCTGAAAACAATCATTTATTGCCCCAATTTCTTTCAAAGAGCTGCATAGTTCCAAAAGGGAGAGACATGACATAGCAACAGCAGTATCAATTCAACTGTAATTTGGATTAGAAGTAGACTGTACAAAACTTACAAAATCAAAAGACACAACAGTCTTCACCCCGTTAGAAAGCCCTCCTTATTGCCACTCGTAGTGTAAGTCACTCTGAATTCAAACACTTCCATTGGTACAGACAAGCTCTTCAGTCATACACAGTGAAAAATTGCATATTTTGAAGTTGTCAAGATTCTGGAATGGTCAAGTTTGGTTTTATCTTAAAATCCTCTATTTCTGGAAAATGAATTGGTCAATGAATTCGTTCTGGTCAGCTTCAATTTTACACAGAGTCTCGTACTCTACCTGGTACCTGAAAGATAAAGCAGGCGGTCAGCAGCTCCCGTGCTGGGTCAGGACAGTGCTCCTGGGCTGCAGGGAAGGGACTTGAGCTCCAGAGACCTCCGCAGAGCAGTGGCTGCGTGAGCTGGACCCACGGTTCTGCAGTGCCTCCGGGTGCTGGACAAGGCAGAGCTCACTGGCTTCCCCAGCGGCCCCGTCTGCTGCTGCCCCTCGGGTTAGCCACAGTCATCAGAGATGGGCCTTAAGTGAACCCTTGGCTGGTGGCTCCACGTTGTCTACACGTGCTCAGCGCAGGAGGGGACACCTTTGCTGCGCAGATGGGCTGCGTGGACGAGCTGAGGCAGTGCCCAGCAGCCACACACAGAGGCGAGATTGACTTCCCAATCTCTGCAGTGCCCCAGAGGACCCAACAGGTAACTCACCTCTGCAGCTGCATCTTCTTCTCAGCTATTAAAGCCTGAAGCTGCTGCTCCTGAGCTTCCCTCTGCTTTGCTATAGACTTCAGCAGGTTCCGCGCACCGATGGCCTGTCAGGAGAGGACAGTGCTGTAGTTGTAGTGGGATCTGTTAATGTGTTTAATCCCTCTCACTGCTGGCAGGTTGGGATTCACAGTATCACAGTAGGTTAGAGATTGGAAGGGACCTCAAAAGATCATCTAGTCCAATCCCCCTGCCGGAGCAAGAACACCTAGATAAGGTTACACAGGAACGTGTCCAGGCGGGTTTTGAATGTCTCCAGAGAAGGAGACTCCACAACCTCCCTGGGCAGCCTGTTCCAGTGTTCCGTCACCCTCACCGAGAATAAGTTTCTTCTCAAGTTTAAGTGGAACCTCTTGTGTTCCAGTTTGCACCCATTGCCCCTTGTCCTATCATTGTTTGCCACTGAGAAGAGCCTGGCTCCATCCTCGTGACACTCCCCCTTTATATATTGATATACACTAATAAGGTCACCCCTCAATCTCCTCTTCTCCAAACTATAGAGACCCAGCTCCCTCAGTCTTTCCTCATAAGGGAGATGCTCCACTCCCTTCATCATCTCAGTTGCCCTGCGCTGGACTCTCTCCAGCAGGTCCCTGTCCTTCTTGAACTGAGGGGCCCAGAACTGGACACAGTATTCCAGATGAGGTCTCACCAGGGCAGTGTTTCAAGTGTTTCAGCCACACCAATAGTAAAGGAGGGTGACACCACAATACTGATGTACAGACAGAAACAGGAACAGTGGGACTGTTAAACACAGGAGTAACGTGGCACTCTGGGTGTATGTATATGAGCCCTCCAGACATCAGTATCACAGAAAGGCCTGTTGGACACTGATGCTGTAAAGTGTGATCAGCTGCACATACCTTCATCTTCTCGCTTTCTGCAGCTTTTGCCAGCTGATCCACAAGCTCAATCAAGCTCCCCACTATCTTCTGGAATTCAGCTATTTCTGCAGAGAAGAGAACACGGTGAAGCACCGTCCACAACACCCCCGCGGCAGGCGAACGCGTTCACCACCCGCTGCAGTCCTTAGCTCAGCTTTATTCCTGGCGCTCCCGCACACAGGTACGCGTTTGGGTCTGTGGGAGCGGCTGCGAAAGGGGAAGCGCGGAGCAAAGCCCCGGTGCCCGGCCCCGTTGGCACTCACTGTCCAGGAAGGCCCCGCACTCCTCGCGGAGCTGCGCCGTCTGCTGCGCCGCCTCGGGGTCCAGGACCCGCAGCTTGTTCAGCTCATCGAAGTGCAGCCCCGCCACGCTCAGCGCCGCCTGCGCCATGGCCCGGACCGACCCGACCCGGCCCGGCCCGGCCCCGTCACCGCCCGCTGCCACGGCCACCGCCGCGGGGCGCGCTGGGAGCCGTAGTCCGGTGGCGCCGGCGGCGCGGGGCAGGCCGGGAGCCACGGGGGGCGCTGAGCGCTTCCGGGTCGCCGGTTCCTAGCGGGGCGTGGAGGAAATGAGCTCAGGCGGCGGCCGTGGGGCTGCGGGCGGCCGCGGGCGGGTGAGCGGGGGAGCCGGGAGGGTAGGGCCGGGGGAACGGCCCCGGGGGAACGGCGCCGCCCGCCTCGGTGCGAAGGGAGCCGGAGCTCCCCCCCGCTGTGCGCTGCCGTCCCCCGGTGGGTAAGGCCTGCGCAGGCCCGGCTCGGCGGGGCCGGGGTACCCCGGTGCGGGGAGCGGGGCGCTGCTCCCCCCGGTAGCACCGTCCCTTGCGCGGGGAGCCCTCAGCAGGGCCCGGCTCCGGCGGTGTCTGAGCTGTCTCCGGGGCCCCCTTCCTTTCCCACAGCGGGCGGGCAGGAGGGAAGGAGCGTGGAGCCCCTCCTCGAGTGCTGGTGGATGGGGTGGTTAAACGTTCCGTTGTTGTTTGCAGCCAGTGCTGGCTTGCTGGGTAACGAGCGCGTTAGAGGAACAGCACCGAGCCCTACCTGGGCGGGTGGTGCGGGACGTTCTGCTCCCGTTCTGCTCCCGTTCTGCTGGGCTGGAGGAGTCGGTAAATCCTGAAGATTTAGGTAGAACGGGCTGAAGGCCTGGCTGCAGTGAGTACGAGCAGACGGGTCGCTGTTGAAGTAGGAGAGCTCTGTGTGGGCCTGTTTCATTGCAGAATCAGTCTGGCCGTCCTTGCAGACACTCTTCTTTCTGAAACAGGGATGGCTGAGGGTTAAAGCAGGGCAGGACATTGATAGCAAACATGACGTTAAGAACCCTGTTTTTACCAGGGTTCTTAACTACAAGACAAGGTGTCGTTGTTTCTGGCATTGGTTTAGCCATAACAGGTCCTAGTAAGCACCTCTGAGTGGCTGGAAGGAACTGTGCTACTTGCAGAATGTGAGCCATTCTGAGGGATTTCTCTGTACCCCTCAGCTGATTCATCTGAGGAATGAACTTCACTGTGACCCTCACATGTTCTGCCCCACCACTTTGGTTTGCTCATGAGCTGCTCTGTGTGGGTGCAGTGGTGGGAGAAGATTGGTCCTGCCTGGTTGTGGGCTCAAGCTGGAGCTTGCCATAGTGGAAAGGAAGTGTGGGAGCCCCAGTTAAAGTGGCTGGGGACAAATGGAGCTCTTTGGCACTAGAATTCTTAGAATTGGTTTGTGACTGATGATCTGCACAGTATCTGTATTGCTTGTTATTTAATAGCTGTTGTAGCATTTGCTTAATTAGAATGAGTTAAGAATAGCAGAATAACGTTGTGTTTTAGGTGTTGTTCCAAGTGCAGTAGTTATTCAGATCTCTGGCAATTTGAAGATACCATCTGTAGCTGCCACGTAATTTGCTGTGCAGACGGATGGATGTGGGCTTTTTCTCTGTTGAAAGCTGAGGTGGGGTGAGAAGGAAGAGGCTGTAGGATGAATAGCAATATAATTAGCAGGTTATTTATTTATAAGGGTTACTCATGAGCCATAGGCACAGGGCAGAGAGGGGAGGAGGTATTTGTAGTCTGAAAGAGTTTTAAAACAACAACAAAACCCCAAGAGCTAAATGCTTTTGAGAGCATAATTGTTAGAAGAAGGATGGGCGAGAAACTTGTGTTTGTACTTTTCCTGTTACAGAACTTTGGATCTGGCCTGTTAGAGTTTTGTTCTTTGTCTGTTTGCTTCCATTTTGAGCTTATTGCCAGTGGGAAGATAAAGCACAATGAGACTGAGGAAAGGAGGCAGCAGTGAGTGTCTCGATGGGTTTTTAATGGAGACAAATGTTCCACTGAGTGGATGTTCTTGGAAGGGTAATTGTGTTAATTTTTGGTTATTTTTTAAATAATTGACTCTTGGCATTCCAGGGTGAAGGAAGAAGAGTTTTGAATGAAAGGAGTTGCCAGGAAGTGGGATGTTATGGTCCAGCATTGCAGTGTGGAGGCATCTGAAAAGACACTTGTCAGTGCCTCCAGTTGAAGAGCAAACCCCCCCCACGCCCTGCAGGTGCAGACATCTCCCTGAAGGGAGGGCAGAGAGCTCTTCCCTGGAGTTCCAGCTCTGCGCAAAGGGTTGTGTTCTGGGAAGCTGAGAGGGAGACAGGTTGCAGCCCCTGTTTGAGCTCAGATCGTTTGAAGGGGAAATAACAGGAAGCCTGGAAAAGTTGAGTGTGCCTCAAAGCAGGAAGGCAACTGTAATGTGACTGCATTCATTGCTGTATGAGCTGTCTGACAGAGCTAAATCCTGGTTTGTCAGTGTGTGTGCAGATGTGTCCTTGGGAATCTGCTGAAAGTGTCTCTTCATGGGTTTGTTGTAAACAGACATTCCAGGCTCCTGTACTGACCTCATGCCTTCCTGTTTCAAGGGCCCCATAGTTATGACAGCTTTTCCCTTGCTGTCCTCGTCTGGTGACTCGTGAGCCGTCACCAATCACGGCGGAGTCCATCAAGCCCACGCTCTGCAGGGTTGTCATCTACCTCCAGAAGGAGATGTCGGGGGACACGTGTCTGACCACCACCCTCTGCCCGGCCGCGGGGCCCAAACCCAAAACCTGCAGCTTCAAAGGGGGCAGCCTTGGCAACAAGTACGTGCGCCTCAATGTTGGGGGCTCTTTGTATTACACCACGGTGCAAGTCCTGACCAGGCACGACACGATGCTGAAGGCCATGTTCAGCGGCAGGATGGAAGTGCTCACGGACAAGGAAGGTGAGGAAATGTCTTTTGTTGTTGAGAATTTTGTAACACCAGTTTTGTAACTGGGGTTTGCTAGTGGTCTTTAAAGTACCTCAAGACTACGCTCAGTTAAGGATGTAGGAGAAGAGATATTCCAAAAATAACTTGGAACATTAGGCAGCCAGTTCCCATTGGTGCTGTCAGTCCTCTGTGCTTTATAGAAATGTGCTCTTTTGTTACTAAAATTAACTAGCAGAAGGACTGGTTCTTTCCTGTGCTCACAGCTGGTGTGCAGATCCTTCGTGTTGTTCTGAACAGACAGTCTGTGGGTTGTCATTTCTGTCGTGTCATGTAGTGGCATCATTGGAAATATGCGTGTGGGGAGGGATGCTCAGTTTTCATCTTCAAATCTCGGCATAGCAGTGCTTGAGATGTCGAAAACTCTTCTTTTCCCTCCTCCCAGGGGCACGTTCCACTTGTGGTGATGCTGTGATGGTGTTCCGCTGTCACTCAAGCAGTACGTCACCTCCTGCAGGGCACTCAGTATTGACTGGCTTTATAAAAATCCACTTTACACTACAGAGAGTAGAACAAGAAGGATGATCAATATCAGCAATGGCTACTGAGTGCTTTCATTTTCCTTTCTTCCATAGTCCAGGGCAAAATGACACCTCAGGAATGGGGTTTGTGTCACTGTGGAGGGGAGGCTGCAAGAGGTTGGCAATTATTTAACCTCTTGGTGTTCCTGAACACTCAACATGCAGAAGCTCTTTTGCCTGCCCAGATGACATCAGTTTAAACTTGATGCACAGCAGTGTGTTTACTCAGGCCGAAACAACTCCTTGTGGTTTTGCATATCACGCAAACCCAGTTCCCCTTGACTGGGTTTTGTTCGGTGTTAGTACAACTAACCTCAGTTAGCCCAACAGCTCTGTATAGGAGCCCCAGCCTGAATGGAAAACAACTGACAATGGAAAACAGTCTGACAGCTACAGCTGCAGACCCAGCAGTGGTTGGCGTACTTTCCTGTGTCATTTACTGTTCCTAGGTCCTAAAATAACACTCTGCTGCTGCCTCCTGCATTATGGAAGAAGGCTTGGCACTGTATTAAGCCTTCTGCTGATGCACAGCCTACATGGCCATTGTTTGCTGTCGAGTCAGACATCCTGTTTCCTAGTGAACGTGACTTCAGGGGTGTTTTATGATTGTGAGAGCTGTCTGTCTTCTGTTTCCTGCCTGCATCCCTTCTCTGCTCCCTCCTGAACTGTCTCTGTCCTGTTCTTGGCTCCTGTTTGGAAACCAGAACAACTTTCTCCCTGTACTGGGTTTTCTGGGCCAGTCTGCCTTTTAGCATCTTTGGAACACTTTCTGTTCTATAACCAACTTCAGTTTGCTCGCAGTCAGTAGATTTCCCTGAAGGAAATGGGAAGAGTACCATATGGTGTTTAAGGAAGCATCAGGCTTATTTAACCTCTCCCAGTAGCTTTTCCTTGTGCCCTAGAGTTGAGGCTGTTGAAGTGATGTGATGGTTATTTTTCAGGCTGGATCCTTATAGACCGTTGCGGGAAGCACTTTGGAACAATTTTAAACTATCTCCGGGATGACACGATTGCACTTCCAAAACACAGGCAGGAGATCAAAGAGCTGATGGCAGAAGCCAAATACTATCTCATTCAGGGCTTAGTGGACATGTGCCAAGCAGCCCTGCAGGTAAGTAGGAGTAGCCTGCAAAGTTTTTCATGGATGTTTTGCATGTAAAGTTGACATAAGAAAACTCGAGGGAGCATTTCATGGTCTTAGAGATAGCATCAAGTCTTAGATGTACAGGACAGCCTGGAGGAAAATGAGACAGCAGTCAGGTGAGTTGTGAGAGCGAATCCAGGATGTTTAAGAAAGCCAGGGTTGTCCTTGTTCTGGGTGCACACCTGGGATTCCGAGATGTTTTGAGTAAGAGACACCGAGTGCTGTAAGGACATTTCCTTGTGTCAGTTTTGTGAATAGCAAGCCCATAGTAGCTTTATTCATTTTAGAAGTCTCTGCATTCAGCTGATAGAACTCGGCTTGTTCTGCCAGCTTTTGAATAAGGTTAGCCCAGATGCAATGTGTAGAACTTATTGTTAGGCTTAAGATTGTGAAATGGATGCTTCTTGCAGGACAAAACTTAGTAATTAATAAATGCCTCACATACTGGGTTCAGCATACTTCATGTATCCACTGAAAAAACACAAAGCCACACTGACAATTCTCCTTCTGGTTTGGAATTGAAAACCTTTCTTCTAAAAACAGAATGTTCTAAGGCCTTCCAATTAGCTATTGAGCTGTCCTTAATTTGCTGCATGAGGAATCTGGAGTCACAGACTGCCACATGCTCTCAATTGTTGCTTTTGTATCAGAAGGGGCTGAAGTCCATTTGGTGACATGCTGTTCTTGCCAAACGCTCAGTTCATAGTGGCTGATGCTGTTATATGTGGCAGTGCTTAGACTTGATAGAAACTAGTGCAAACCCTATCCTTGCCTTCAAAAAGGGTGCAGTAATAAAACCACTGAAACCAAATATTATTTGAGCTTGGAGTCCTTTGCTGTAGCTAAGGACATCCACCTGCATCCCAGTAGTTCTATTCCGGCTGCCTTCTGGGGCTCAGCAACCCCCCTGCAGTATTCATGGGTGCAGATCAAGGTAATGCTGTGTGGTTGCTGTAGCAACATGGAGTTTGTCCTTTCCATCACACGGTTTGGAACGTGGCTGGAGGGGTTGGAGGAGACAGCAGCAGTGCTTCGCTTTAGCATTTATCTCCCTTGAGTTTGTTTACTCTCTCTTTTCTTTCTTTAAAACAGGACAAGAAAGACTTGTATGAACCTGTCTGTAGCATCCCCATTATCACATCTCCAAAGGAAGAAGAGAGACTGATAGAATCATCGATGAAAGTAACTGCTTTTCCACAACTACCCAGTGAGAAACTGAATTTTTGCTAAATGTCTTCAAACACAGACCTTAACTTTTTCTGCTTTTTCCCTTTCTCTCCCAACAGCCTGTTGTTAAGCTGC